AGAACATGGGTGATGGTGAAGAAGGTAACACTGATGTTGTGATGCAAAGGCTTCAATCTTCATTTGGGACATCATCATCTTCAACCCACAAACAACTTTTATCAATGAATCATCTTGAAATACCTCAGTTGAATCCTAATCAAATCAGTGCTGCTGGACATTTCTCTCATTTTGGCCACAATGGTGGTACCGGCACCGGCGCTGGTGATGCTACTAACAAAAGAGTTGGTATCCCTCCTTCACACCCTAACCAGATCCCACCCCGTTTCACCTTATTCACAGATCCCCATGTCCCGCTCTTCGAACCAGAAAATGGGTTCTCAGGGTTTTAACTCGGGACCAACTCATTCCCGGTCTTTGTCTCAGCCTTCTTCGTTCTTCTCACTCGATTCATTGCCCCCTTTGAGCCCTTCCCCGTATCGTGATTCTTCATCAATGGCGGTTTCCGACCAAGTTTCTGCCGATGTGTCGATGGACGAAAGGGATGGAGCTTCACATTCGTTGTTGCCACCGTCCCCTTTTTCATGGGGGAATTCGCCACGGGTTCGTGAGAGCTTGCCACCGCGAAAATCACATAGGCGTTCCAGTAGTGATATTCCGTTCGGTTTTAATACGATAATGCAATCTTCGCCGCCTCTTATTCCTTTAAGGGGATCGGTTTCGAGTAAGGAGAATTCAGTAGTGCCTAGGCCTGTGCAGTTGGTGAAAAAGGAAACCAGTTGGAACAAAGGTGCTGATGGCAACGGTGAAGGAATAGGCGAAAGGAAAACAGAAGGGGTAGTTGTGGATACTTTGTTTTCTGCTTATATGAATTTGGATAACATTGATGCGATCGATCCTTGTGAAGATAAAAACAATAATGGTAATGAGAATCATGAAGATTTGGATAGCAGAGCTAGTGGGACGAAGACCAATGGAGTTGATAGCAGTGACAATGAAGTTGAAAGCATTGTCAATGAAAGTGGGAATGGTGGACAAGGTGGAATGAATTCGACGGAGAAAAGGAAAGGGAACAAAAGGAGTGCAGCAGGGAACATTGCTCCGACCGGTAGACATTATAGAAGTGTTTCGATGGATAGTTTTATGGGGGAGTTGAACTTTGGTGATGAATCTCCAAAATTACCACCTGCACCTGGGAATCGGCCAGGACAACTCTCGCCTAGAAATTCAACGGATGGGAATTCGACTGCCTTTAGCTTGGAGTTTGGAAATGGTGAGTTTACCGAGGCTGAATTGAAGAAGATTATGGCAAACGAGAAACTTGTCGAGATTGCAATGACTGATCCGAGGCGGGCAAAGAGGTATCCTACTGTTCAAGTACTGCTTTGTAACTTTTTGATTTTACAAAAGCATTTCACTTATGTTGTTGGTTCTTTGAAGGATATTGGCAAATCGTCAATCAGCTGCCCGTTCCAAAGAAAGGAAGATGCGTTATATTTCGGAGTTGGAGCACAAGGTTCAGACTCTGCAGACCGAAGCTACCACCTTGTCTGCTCAGCTAACACTTTTACAGGTTGAAGATTTTAGAGCAAAGCATGTTATATCGATATTTCCTAGCTTTAGTTCTCTGTTCTCATTATCGACTTTAAATTGATGTAGAGAGATTCCGTTGGGCTCACAAATCAGAACAATGAGTTGAAGTTTCGTCTTCAAGCCGTGGAGCAACAGGCACAACTTCATGATGGTATGATCCAATTTTCATTTAACTTAAATCTCTGGCCTTTTTCATTTGATCAAGTATTCAGAGTTTTGAACATTAAGGAATGCAGTTATGGATGACTAATTTGATGTATCAAGCAATCTTATTTAGCTCTTTGATTAGTAACATGCTTTTGATTAGTGTTTTGAATACTTGAGTTGGAGTGCCCACTTTTCTCATAGCTGTTCATGCTACAAATTTTGCTCCGATCATATGCTAGTGCCGCACACATCTTGCTATCTTGTGTGTGGTGGTTTACTAATACTGCAAATATGCTGCTTCCACTTTTATTGAACTACTGAGAATGAAACGTTCATAAACTTACTTTATGCATGCCACAAGCCGAGTCTTTTAGGTGTCTGTAAGAATTATTTGTCTTTGGTATGCCATTCAATGTGATTACTTTTCTCCTAAGCAGAGTCTGTTGTCTGCGTATATGTCTTCGTAATTCATCCTTTCGATATCAATTATGATTAGTTGTATCAAATCGTCCATCTTACTACTGCATTGCCTAGAATTTTATGCTTTAGTAACTTATCCTTCATTTTCGTGTTACATTTGGAAAGCTCTAAACGAAGCATTAACTGCCGAGGTCCGGAGATTGAAGCTTGCTACTCAACAGCTAGGTGGCGACTCTAACCCCTCAAACGGCATGGTTTCGGAGCAGCTTTCTGTTAATCACCAGATGTTCCAGCTTAACATTTCTCAGCAACCCCAACAACAGAACGGGAACACGACCTCAAAAACTGAGTCGAATCAGTAGCTGGTTCCCTGTTCCACTATGATATTACTAGTTTTCAACCTCCAACATCAAAGGACAATCATGGTTATGGTAATTACAATTCAACCTGCAGCAGATATCTATATGAATAATCACTGTATCGTTTATAATCGTATATTTAATTAATTAATTTATATGGTAGATCGTCATAGTGGAATGTAAGCATTAAGTTGACAGGATTTGTTGTATTAGCGTTATAAGAGTTTAACTTGAACTCTTCTGTATTCTTTTGTTTTTCAGTAAAGAGTTGGGTATTTCGTTTCTAGAACTGTTTAATGATTCATTAATGAGACACTGTAATAAGATTTGGACTTGAAAAACAATTATCCTCAAATCTTTAACAAGAAACTCTTGGGACCTGTTTTTATGCAACTCTATATATGGAACTTTTCGTTTGCTTGCATAGGGGAGTTTAGACCTATGCAGATTTCTTGTGGGTAAATATTCATTTTGGTATCTGATTTTGTTTTTAATGTTCAATTTAGTGTCTTTTTTTTTTAATTAGATACTTGAATTTGATATTTTAGTTTAAATTGATTGATATTTGATCTTAGTTTCATAATTCAAATTGATTGTAATAAATCATTCATCATAAATACTAGTTAAAAAAAAGCCTACCGATTTGAACAAAAAAAAAACAAAGTTTGGGTACTTATTTGGACCATAAATTTTTTTTTTGTATTAAATTGAATTTTAAATACAGGTTCAACTATCTATTTGGGAAAAAAACCCTATAGGTACCAAATTAAATTTTTAATCGAAGTTTAGGAACTAAGTTGTATATAAGAATTTTTAAATAAAAATAGTTTCAATCGGCAGTTTCAAATTACAGAGCAGGTTGTCAGGATGGCCGAGTGGTCTAAGGCGCCAGACTCAAGTTCTGGTCTTCGAAAGAGGGCGTGGGTTCAAATCCCACTTCTGACATTTTTAGTTTTTCTTTTTATAAAATAGATTCATCTGCTTTGGGAGATAACACTCCTTTTAACTCGATGAAATTCTTCATTTGGAATGTGAAAGGGATCATCAATCCCCTCGGGCAGAGTTGTGTAACTATAAAATAAAGAGATAATAAAATTGATGTGGCATGAATAAAGACTTTAATGAGTGAGATCTTTTTACTCAGGAGTAGGACAATATGAATTATTAAACATTCAAATTGCTATTGGATTTAAGACAGGAACCCTTCTAGTGAGGTATTTAAGGGTTCCATAACTTGCAAAAAATCCTACAGAAAATTGAAGCAAAAATCAATGCATGTGGCACCAAATACCTGTCTTATGTTGGAAGATATAAACTTATTCAGGCTATGTTCAATAGCTTACAAGAAATCTAGTGAGGTATAATGTTCAAATCTATTGGAGTAGGCATTTCCTACTCCCTAAAATAATATTAAGCAGAATCAATCAGTTATGTGCCAGATACTTCTAAAAATGGAAGAGATGATAGTGAAAGGGGATCTTTGGTTAATTGGAACATGATATGTAGAACTATAGCAGAGAGGAATTGGTCTAAGGAACCTACAAGTCTGGAACAAGGCTTGTATTATGCAGAATATATTGGTTATTATGTCCACAACTGGTTCCTTGATGGACTCATATATTCATCAAGGAAGCTCAGTCATGCAAATCCAAGCTTCCTACTTGATTATGAATTACAATACCTTTTACTTAGATTTTTTTCATGGACGAGATCAAAAGGAAACACGTGTCATCGTCTAATTAGAGATTAAATTTATTAAACTGAATTAAAATTATACTTGATAAAATGTGTAAATAGCAAAGACTACATGTGTAATTATACTAATTTTTTATACTAATTTTTTAAACAATTACATCAGCTCCTCCGATCTATGTTAATAGACCTAATGGTTGGTGGTTTAATTGACAACACTTAAATAATTAAGTGGTATAATTGACAAAATTAAAAGATCTATAGTCAAAATAAATTTTACCTCTAATAAAGTGGTCATTGATGTAGTTTAATCTTCCTTTTAATATACCAAAACACTCAATGATTTGTTGGTTGACAATTCAAAATAAACTCCTTACCAAGGATAGCTTACCAAGAGAGGCATGTAGATTGATGGAAGATGTGCTTCCAGAGATGAAAAATAGGAATCACCTATTGTTTGATTGCACTTTCACGAGGATTTGGCATATAATTCTTGCCTCAAGTGATATTCAAAGAATTATAAGTGTCCGATCTATAAATTTAAAAATGAGATTTAAAATTTTAATTTTAATTTTTTAAGAACGATACACAAATTTTCTATTTTTTAATATATTAAATTAAATTTAATTATTTTTTAAAATAATAAATATAATTGCTCTCCATGAGAGTTTATATATATCCGGCCCTGATACCATATGTGTGTTTTACCCTAACAATAGTAATAATTAAAAAAAAAGTGAAAATAGTGTTTGGGCGAGAACAATGGCCTGAAACGCTGTCGTTTTGAATAAGCTCCGACACTTGCTTAAATTCCCCTCCCAACTCCCAAGAGCCCAACGAAATTTTCTAGAGTAAGCGTTGCTGTTTCTTCTGATCTGAAACTCAGTCGCCCAAATTCTCAAACAAAGCAAATCGATGGCGCCTCCACCTGGTCCCTACTCCGGCTCCAGCACTCTCGCTCTTGTAATTTATTTCACCCTTTCTCTTTTCATTCCTTTGTTCTTTTGGCCTAGATCAAATGCAGCAAAATGAAATAAATCCCAGAAATATCGTTGGTAATAAGATTGTTTTTGAATCGATTCATTTTAATTATTTATGTAATAGGTGGCTCGTGTATCTGCTTTCTCTTTTGGACTTGTTTATGGTAGCTTTAAGCTCAAGTACCTCAAGGTATTTTTAATTTACTGATTATATTTTGGATTTATTTTATTTTTATTCAGTTTCGTTTTTCTGTTTGTATGGTTGTCATTTTTATATATGGGAATGACTATCACGTTGTTACAATTGGATTTACATTTGTTATGGATATTTTTAAGTTTGATATATTTTTTAATGTGGGGATAAAGGGTGTTGATAGCTGCTGCTAAGTGGCATTGTTCTGATGGTATTTGTTTTCATTTGTTTGATGTTTCAAGGTTATTATTAGAATGATAATTTCTTTTTGATCAAGAAATCAGGAATAGTTGTTAGATGGTAAACCTTGCTGACTTTTTTTTGGGGAACAATTTTAGGGCTATACGCTTCTTTAACAACGTGGGAGTTGGGTTTCCTGCTCTAACTTGTTGAAATTATATCTTACGAATGTACATAATGTTGTGGTAAAATATTAGCATCTAATGTTTCTAATGTTGTGGTAAAGCTGATTTTATTATTTGGATCTTGTATTGCATATTTCCTAACCGGGTCTTCTGACCCGTTCTTTGAAGAACCCACGTTACCCGCCGTTGAAGTCATTCTATAAAAGATAAATTAAACATAAAGTCAAACTAAAATAACAGAAAGAAATACCAGTATACAAAGTTACAAACTATACCAATAAGGCAGTAACAACTAAAAAAAGATGAATTATATATTTATATACCATTTTGAAAAACATAAAACGGAAAGGCTGTGAAAATTTATTCTACCAAGTTGAAAGTTAACCAGATTGATACTTTGACCTTATAAAGTCAATCTATACCATAATACAAACATTTAAAATTCAACAAGCATTTTGCTTGTCTAAAAAACTATACCAGTATATATGTAACAACTAAAAAACAGAATGCAATAACAGTAACAACTAAAACTGAATTAAACATGAATACATGATATTCAGTTTGACCTTATAAAACATAAAACAGAAAGCAATACCAGTTTAACCTTATAAAGTCAGTGAACTTTGTTAAAATTAAACTGTAAAACAGAAAGCAATAAAGTCAAACTATAAAGAACGAGAAAGCATTTTATAAAGTCAAACTATAAAGTCAAAGTTGTGTTTAAAAAATTGTCGCTTAAACGCGATTAAAGCACTAAGCGACACGAGCGAGGCCCCTGGCGCTTGAGCATAGCAAAAGCACTACAAATTCACTAAGCGGTAGTAATCCGCGCTTTTGCAACGCTTTTAGCAAAGCGCTAATCGGCGCTTATTCGCGAGTTTAGAAGATACGATTTTGGGCTTTAGCAGATACGATTTTTGGGCTTGTTTAGGGTTTAGCGGGCTATTAGATTATCAGGCTTAGATCGGCTTTTAGTTTAGGCGGGCTAGGGTAAAAAATGCGATTGAAATAGGTGGTAATCGAAGAATTTACAGAGAAAGATTGAGGTTGAGCGATAAAAAATTCACAGAGAGTGATCATCTTCCACGCCTGTCGCTTTTGGCCTCACGCTTACGACTCCTGACTCACGACTCAAGTTTTGATCATCATCTTCCTCTCATCTCACTCAAGTCACGCTACTGCTGCACTTCATCAACAGGTACGTAATTATGTTGTTTATATACTTATAGTTTATTGCAAAATTGTGTTTTATAGTTTATAGAGTACTGTTATTCTTTACAGCTTATTGCTTTCTCCTTCTTTAAGTACTTAGTATTGCTGAATTTTACATGTAGACAAGCAAAATGCTTGTTAAACTGGTAAAATTTCACTGACTCTGACTTTATAGTTTGACTTTATAAAATGCTTTCTCGTTCTTTATAGTTTGATTTTAAAAAAGCTCATTGACTTTATAAGGTCAAACTGGTATTGCTTTCTGTTTTATGTTTTATAAGGTCAAACTGAATATCATGTATTCATGTTTAATTCAGTTTTTAGACAAGCAAAATGCTTGTTGAATTTTAAATGTTTGTATTATGGTATAGATGAACTTTATAAGGTCTAAGTGTCAAACTGATTAACTTTCAACTTGGTAGAATAAATTTTCACAGCCTTTCTGTTTTATGTTTTTCAAAATGGTATATAAATATATAATTCATCTTTTTTTAGTTGTTACTGCCTTACTAGTATAGTTTGTAACTTTGTATACTGGTATTTCTTTATGTTATTTTAGTTTGACTTTATGTTTAATTTATCTTTTATAGAATGACTTCAACGGCGGGTAATGCGGGTTCTTCAAAGAACGGGTCAGAAGACCCAGTTAGGAAATATGCAATACAAGATCCGAATAATAAAATCAGCTTTACATGCTCTTTTTGTGGACAAACATTTAAGGGAGGTGTGTTTCGAATCAAACTACATATGATGAAGAATTAAATGCGTTCATGATGAAGAAACAAACGGTAAAGGCAGAACAACATATGCAAGCAAAAAACTAGATGCACCAACAACAAGCTGATGAATACGATGGTGAAGAAGATGTTGTTGAAATAGGCGGCCGTAGTAGCAAGATGCCCCCACCCAAAAAACCAAGGCAAAAAGGTCCTATGGACATTTACTTCACTCCTAATCCTCGAGAAGCAATCAAAGCTAGGATGGAAGGGAGACAACAAACCATCAATGAAACGTGTCGAAAGAACCATAGGGATAAAGTTTGTCATGAGATTGGGAGGTGGTTTTACGATGCAGGTATTATAAATAATTAAATATTTAATGTTTTTTGAGTTTTAAGTTGTTGGAAGTCTTTTTTTTTTTGTTTATGTTGATGGAAATATTTTTTTTATGTAGGCATTCCTTTTAATGTCGTAACATATGAGAGTTTTCAAATAATGATCGAAGCAATCAGACAGTATGGCCCCGGGATGAAAGCACCATGTATGTACGAGTTAAGAGTTCCCATACTTAACAAGGAAATAGAGGAAGTTCAAAACCAAATTGTGGAAAATAAGAAAGAATGGGCAGAAAAAGGTTGTTCAATACTATCGGATGGATGGCGTGATTCCGTTGTTCAAAAAGATATCAACTTCATGGTAAACTCCCCAAAGGGTTCGGTCATCGTGAAGTCACTTGATGTATCTGATGTTTCAAAGGATGTTGATTTGTTGTTTCATGTTCTTGATAAAATGGTGGAGGAAGTTGGTGAAGAGAATGTGGTGCGGGTGGTGACTGATAATGCATCATCTTATGTAAAGGCCGGTAAGAGTTAAGTTGCAACTTTAGTCTTTTGATAATCTCTTGTCTAATGTCATATACTCATCTTATTCCTCTAACTTTGTAGGGAAGTTGTTGGAAGCTAAAAGACCACATCTCTATTGGACACCATGTGTTGCACACTGCCTAGACTTGATGTTGGAGGATATTAGCAAACACATTCCTAGGGTTAAAAATGCTTTAAAAAATTCCATTTACTCAAATGGATATATATATATAGTCATGTTGGTTTGGCGAACTTGATGAGAAAGTTCACAAACTAAAGAAACTTGCATGGACCGACCATCACAAGATTTGCTACTTCCTTTATCACTCTTGCCCAGATCCACAAACAAAAAAACAATTTGAGGAAGATGGTGACTTCTCAAGAGTGGGAAGCGAGCAAGTGGTCTAAAGAACCCACGGGTAAGAAAATAAAGTCTTACTTTTTGCAAGAAACGTTTTGGAAGAATGTACTTTATTCTCTCAAGTTGACAGGCCCCTTAGTGAAAGTTCTTAGACTAGTTTGATGGAGAAAAAAATCCAGCCATGGGGTACATCTATGAGGCAATGGATAGAGCTAGGGAGACGATTCGTGATAGTTCTCCAAATTGAGAGGATGATTACAAGAAAGTTTTTGAAATAGGTGGGAATGTCAACTACATAAACCTTTGCATGATGTGGGACATTTCTTGAACCTGGGGATCTTTTATGATGAAATTGGTGGTGTGCTTTGTGAAGAAGTTAAAAACGGTTTTTATGAATGCATGTAGAGGCTTGTTCGCGACCAAGAAACTCAAGACAAGATTTCAGATGAGTTAGTTAAATACCGGAAGGCTGAAGGTCTCTTTGGTATTAGCTTGGCTGTTAGGTAAAGGAAAACAAAATCACCAGGTAAAAAATGCTACTTTATATTTTAAGTTTTAAGTTATGTTAATTATTCTCTCAAACATAGTTTATGCTTCATGTTCATTTTACATTTTTTTACAGCTGATTGGTGGACAATGTATGGATCTTCGGCTCCTAACTTGAAAAAGTTTGCTATACGGATTTTTAGTCTCACTTGTAGTGCTACAAGTTGTGAGAGAAACTGGAGTGTTTTTCAACAAGTAAGTTATTTTTACATGTTTTTTCTTAATAATATTTCTAGAAATTATATATATATATGCATAATGTTGCTAACATCCAGTTTTGGTTTTTTTCTTGTGGCTTCACACTAAGAAACAAAACAGATTGGCACAATCTAGATTGAATGACATGGTGTGTGAAATTCAATAGTGCCTTGGAGCGTCGAGCTAAAAGTAAGGAGATTGATCCCATTCTTTTGCAAGATATTGATGAGAGCAATGAGTGGTTCATGGGAAGAATGGAAGATGATGAAGATGATGATGAGACGGTGTTTGTTGGTGAGGATTTGACATGGAGTGATGTTGTTAACGCTTCCGGTGCATATGAGCCTAGTTATCTAACTAGAGTATCAAAAGTAGTGAATGATGGAGCCGGACCCTAGTAGACCATCTCGTAGATGCTTAGTTGATGAAGATGAGATGGAAGAAGATATTGGAGTGTTTAGTGATGAAGGAGATATTGTTCGAGTTGATGTCGATGACGATTTAGAGGATTTTTAATTATAAGGAATTGAGGGTTTAGAAAAATACCTTTGTTCATCTCACTTTAGACTACTTTTGGTGTAGACCATCTTTTGAGATTAATATGCTCGTATAGTCGTATGGTTAATGGTATATACGTATTTATAACTTATAAGTAAATTGAGAATTATATTTTGGTGTTTAAGTACTTGTAAGTTTTGAATATATGTATTGATATTTTGATATTTAAGTATTTATAAGCTAATTTATAAATATTCTGTATTTTTTTTGTGAATTTCGGCCTTTTTGGCGCTTCATGTGCATAAAACGATCGCTTTCGCTTAGCGCTTTGGCATCTATGACCCTAGGCTCTTTAAGGCGTTTTACGTTTTTTAAAACCAAGAGTCAGAGTTAGTGAAATTTTACTAGTTTAACAAGCATTTTGCTTGTCTACATGTAAAATTCAGCAATACTAAGTACTTAAAGAAGGAGAAAGCAAAAAGCTATAAAGAAGAACAGTATTCTATAAACTATAAAACACAATTTTGCAATAAATTATATGTATATAAACAATAGAATTACATACTGGTTGATGAAGTGCAGCAGCAGCGTGACTCGAGTGAGATGAGAAGAAGATGATGATCAAAACTTGAGTCGTGAGCGTGAGGCCAGAGGTGACAGGCGTGGAAGATGATCGCTCTCTGTGAATTTTTTACCGCTCAATGTCAATCGTTCTCTGTAAATTCTTCGATTACCGCCTATTTCAATCGCATTTTTTATCCTAGCCCGCCTAAACTAAAAGCCGATCTAAGCCTGATAATCTAATAGCCCGCTAAACCCTAAACAAGCCCAAAAATCGTATCTGCTAAAGCCCAGAATCATATATTCTAAACTCGCGATTAAGCGTCGATTAGCATTTTGTTAAAAACGTTGCAAAAGCGTCGATTACTACCACTTAATGAATTCATAGTGCTTTTGCTATGCTGAAGCGTTAGGGGCCTCGCTCGAGTCGCTTAACGCTTTAATCGCGCTTAAGCGGCGCTTTTTTAAACAAAGATTGATAGATATTGATTTCCTTGATAATGTGCTTACTTAAAGCTTTTACTTCTACCCGCAGGGTAAGGCAAAGTCTCAAAGGAAAGCTGAAGCAAAGGCTCACCACCGAAGCAGGGGGTTTTTGCTCAAAGTTGGTTTGCGTTTAGTGTAGGAATAAAGCATTTCGATGGTATTGTACCAGTTTTTCATTTCGGCTTATGAAACTTTTATGGACCATGAAATTGTTTTAGTGTAATGAAATGGCCCTTCAGGTTTTAACTTTTCGGTTGGCAATGTCACCATGGTGATTTTGTTAGTTGGCAACATGTTGGATGATTATATGTATTATTTGTTCAATGTAATAATGCCTTCACTTTTTGGCTCCTAAATTGTGTTATAGCATAGCCCTCCGGCATTAGCTCTTACCTGATCCTGATAATATTAATACCACCAACATTGGCTTAGCAATCTAGTTATTCCTGCAGTACAAATTCTCTGACTCTTGCCTAATGTACCTTGGAATGAAAAGAAACCAGTAGGTGAAATCGATACCTGATATATCGATGCAGCCATGCCCTAAACAAGTACAATATTCCCGATTAAATTGAGCAAAGTGCTTTTTCATCAAATCCAAATCCATCACAAAGTTACTAAGGCAGGCATTAAAAGAAATCATTCTTGAGTAGAATTTCTCATAAAGAAAAATCAACACTCCATCCAAACGTAGCATTAGTGTTAATAAATTGTTCATTATAATGTATATATTGCAAATGAATCAAACAGTGAAACAGATACAAAACTTCGAATAGAGATTCATGTAGGATGAACGCTTCTGGACAATGGCAGTGGCACCAAATGAGACGAGAATAGTTACTGTGTGGCTTCGGAAATTACACACCGCCACAGTGCAATACATTAACAAATGATTCAAACAAGTACCCATTCACAAACCAACATCAAAGCAGTTATGCAAAATTGAGAACATGCCTTAATGTGCCGTTGAATGTATGTGGATATGTGAGATGAGTCTAATCAACCTATCGTGTGTTACCCAAGTCCGAAGAACTTCTAAGTTTCTTTCACCACAGGTATGAGGTTTTCAAAATCCGATTATGAACCAAAACGGGCAAATTGTTAATTTCCCTTCGAGTCAAGCTTTTAAATTATTCCCATTTACTCATTACTAAATAATCAAGTAAAAGAGAGCCTGGGTTCAAGGAAGAATCAACCTCAAACACCGTTGAACTAAGCTAATCCACAAGGAGAAACAAACCTGTAAAAATGTTATGACAACTTCTTCATTCTGTCCTGAGGAAATACTAAGCAAATGAGAAGGCAAGGCAACTACTTTACGTAAATAATATCTTCCTCAGGGTCATCATCCTCCCAGTCTCTGTCATCTCGAGACGAAATGGATTGATCTTCTTCATCTTCATATTCGTCTGCTGCGGTCTTTTTCTCCTCCTTTATTTTGTCTAATATGGCAATTACCTGAAAAAGTTTTTCAAATCAGATTGGCTCAGAAATTCATCTTCGTTGTAAGCAGTTACCATCAACACAAACAATAGATTGCAAGCACTTACCCTGCTTCCTCTCTCCAGAGATTCATCTTCGATAAAGCGTATCTCTGGTGTAAGCCGCAACTTCATACGCTTCCCCAGCTCACTTCTAACGTACTTAGCTTTAGACTTCAATCCTCCAACCGCAATATCCTTCCCTCTCTCTTCACCGAAAACAGATACATACACTTTAACAACCTACTACCATGGACAGAAAAAACATGAATTATTTGGTGCCAACAGTTTTTAAATAAAGTCAACCAACTGCAATGCTGTATATCAATTTGCTGTATCTGGAAATGGAGAGATTTCAAAGCCATCCGTTCGAACATAACGAATCCCTGATACTTCCAATGTGTTTTCACAAGGTCAATGAAACAATATACAAAATTCAAGACAAGCATAAACCTTAATAAGTTGTTATTACTTTCCCTTTCAATCAATTGATTCAATTCCCCTAAGGCCTGCACACAATTAGACAAGTTACAAAGAAATGTCATTCACTAAAGCAAATCCTATACGATTAAATTCTTAAACTCTTCACCTCCTCAAATTGAGAACCTAAAACTTCAACAAAACCAACAAATTAAGCAAATTAACAGAATAACTTTTCTACTTCATTAGCTAAGGTATTCATCAAAGTTTGTCAAACCAAAAGCTGCTACAGGGAGAACCCAGAAATCCACAGTAAACGCTAGTATTTATACACAAAAGGGTACCTGTAAATCAGATGAAACTTCAACATCACTTATGGTAGTAAGGGAAGAGAGGTAGCGGTCGGCTCCTAAGGAGGCATCAGGCAAAACGGCGAATTGCAACACCTTATCTGTTAAGAGCATGTCGGATAGCTCTCTCCTTATCTGTTTCGCTACCATTTTCACTCTCCTGGGATTGGCCATGCACTTTATGGTCGCGCCCGTTGTTGGGTTGGTGTGGAGATGAATATAGGCCGTTTGTTTAGGGGTGGGGAAAGAACATGATTTAAGATGGACGGTTGTGATTGGAAGGAGATGGTGGAGGAGTACGTGGGACATTACTGCAGGCGATTTACTTGGGTCTCTGTTCTTGTTCTTGATAGTATATTAAATTGGGGAAGAAACGAATCGGAAGGGAAAAGGAAGAGAGGTGCGAAGATAACGAAAATCCTTTCACACGAGGAGTTTTAGGGTCAAATTGAGAGTGAATACAAGTTTGGGTAAACTACGTAAATGGTCACTAAAGTATGAGTAAGGAAATAAAGAAGTCCTAGGTCAATGGTAGGAATAGATTATAAATGAATCAATCATGAATGAATAAAGTTATGTTCATATTTGGTTTGTGTTCGTTTAAATTTTTAATATTATGTTTGTATTCATTTATTTATTTTTATTGTGTTCGTATTCGTTCATTTAGTGTTAGTGAACGTTCATTTAATATTTACAAGCCAAAGAGAATGGTAGAATTATGCCATTGGTCCTTAAGTTACTTATGCTTCACATTGTGAACTCTCAAAATTACCTTATATTCAATTTAGTCCCTACCTTCATCACTATTAAAAATAAAAAATAAAAAATAAAAAGAAAATAAGAATAAAGTAACCGATTCGATAAATGAGCTTGTTCATAAATATAAACGAACCGAAACACCTATGTTTGTGTTTGTTCAATTATTAAATGAATATAAATTTTTTTCCATACTCGTTTATTTAGCTTAATAACGAACATAAATGAACATTCCACAAACAGTTCATCAAACGCTCTATTCATTTACACCCAAACTAGAAAGAAGAGATAAGATATATCTACTTGCATGTTTTATCCACATTCTTAAGATATAAATTAAAGAGATGTAATCAAGCATATTGTAATCAAGCATATAGTCATGAAAGAAAAGCTCATATTAGTACAAAATTCCATCAAATGTAATTAGCGGTAACTTCAACTCCTCTCTCTCGGGTTAAGATTCACTTACACTTAATGTAAAACTTTTAATTTAACACTTTTTTAGAATTGTTGAATAAGAGGAAATCAAATGCTGAGATTAATTTCTTTCTTCTTCTTCTAGTGAATATTTTCTCATTAACTTGTATTAATCTCAATCATTGGTTCCTCCAATCCAACAATCTAAAAATGTATAAAACTAAAAAGTTATATATATATATATATATATATATATATATATATATATATATATATATATATATATATATATATATATATATATATATATATGGAAGCATGGTTATACACAATAATTGAGATTAAATAAAGTGGTTTGACCAAGTCCTTTTATGTTCTCTTAATCCAAAGTCATTAAGCAGTAGCTTTACTTGACTTAAAATGGGTCCCGAATATGCTTATTTTTAACGGAAAGTGAGTTTTGTTTATTTACGTATAAAACAATTCATAAAACCTTTAAGAAAAACAATAAGTAAATCTCAAACAATCGCTTCATTTTCTTGATCTCCTAATTACATGAAACATGACAAAATCTGGAGCACTGGCGTTTTTGTTAACCTTGTAATCTTTGGTGTCAGGTTTTTGTTCAGGTAGTTCAATGTACCCCAAGGCAAAATAGTTCAACTGGTTTAAGTTCAATATAAAATTGAAAGTTGCCTTGGCTACACCCTACACAAAACACCACTCCCAATCTTCTTCTGATCCATGTCAAGTCACTTATTACTTAACCAAATTTTAATAATAGTAATATCCCTAAAGTATATATATATATATATATATATATATATATATATACACATATATATTTAGGTATAGATCCAAAAGTAACCCATTCAATCAGTTGGAAATAAAACAGTTCCCAGCATATATTCCCTAAAACATTGGCATTTTGTTTTAAGCAGGGGTTACTGCCTTAAAACAAAAGATAATGAGGCAGTCAGGCAGACAAGAGATCATGGCAGATTAGAAAACAAAACATGAAATATATATACACATGCATGTATGCATGTGATGTTTCATTATTTTTGGGTTAGTTGAGATCTGATAATGATAAAAGTTGAGAAGTTTTGAGCATTGTTATTGCTCATATATCATTCATATAAATACCATCTTGAATTGGATTCATGTTACTGGTACAGGGAACTAGTTTCTCAACTGTCTTTTTAATTCATCTAACAAATTTAAATCAATGTAAAACTTTTAAATTTTACATTTCGTAACTCAATTCTACCTCATATATATATATATATAGGCAAGACATGCAAAAGTTGAGGAAGGTGAATGATTATGGTATACTTTTGAAATTATATTAGGGTTTCGCATTTCAATGACAAACAGAGTCTAATTAAATCATATCATCATAACTAGCTATCGACAAAATATAAAAAAGGGAAGAAGTATAACTAGGGTTTTGCGTTTTATTTTATTGATTTTAAAAATGATTTTATTAATTAAATTATTTTGCGTCAATTAAATATCAGAAAATTAAAAAAATTACCTATAAAGTGAATTATATAAAATAAATATATCCATAATTAAATTTAAAAGTTTTAATGCAAAGTAACTGAAAATCTTATATAAATGAAATGATAAAGTTTATTCAATTTCATTATTTGAGCCTATTAATAATTTGGATAGTCGCATACAAATGGACTATTTTCAGTTTTGTAATGTTAAATTTTTGTGCTTCAATATATACATTGCGTATATACTATAAATTCAAACCATAATTAAGTAAATGATATAATCATTTAGTGCATTGATGAAAATGATTGTGTATAATCACATTGTGCATTATTTGATTAATAGAAAGAATCCATTTGATTTATGTTTATAGTTATTATTAAATTAAAATAATAACACATTAATTAGAATTTAATTAATAATTATAACATTAAATAAATAAAAGGTTTTAATGAATTAATAATTGATTAGAGTTAGCCAAAGTCTCAATAGAATCACATGGCCATGACAACTCTCGAAACAACAGACACAATCTCGTAATTATCTCAAAGCCCAAGGCTACTTTCTCTAATCCTTCACCTTATAATACCTCCCTACACTCTGAACTTTAAACTCATTACTTTGGGAATATTTTCTTCTACTAGTTCACTTTCTTTCTTGTTCTTGTTCTGTCACTTCCTTGAGAAAATACGTCTCACAGAATGGGGAAATGCCAGAAAATTAGTCAGATCGTCCGGATCCGACAAATGCTCAAGCAGTGGCGAAGGAATGCTCGGATAACGGCCAACAAAAACAACATCAGTAAAAACCAGCAAACGCCGACTGATGTTCCGGCTGGACACGTGGCGGTCATCGTTGGCACCAGTATGAGGAGATTCATCGTACGCGCGACGTACCTTAACAACCCAATGTTCAGAAACTTGCTCGTACAAACCGAAGAAGAGTACGGTTTCAACAACGACGGACCGTTAACCATCCCATGCGACGAGTCGTTGTTCGAGGAGATTCTCCGAGTCGTATCCCGATCCGACTCATCGTCAAACTCGGGACGTTTCTCCAGGTTCGAGGTTCTCCAGAGATGCTGCCACGTCGGAATGAAGACTCAACTCGGGGTTATCAGCGAATCCCGACCGTTGCTTCATGGGGTTGCCGATAAATCAATCCACTAAAAGCTAAAGCAAGCATAGTATAACACCGCTAATCCTCACTCAAATGTGTTACCCGAGTTGGAAGCGCTAACAACTTCATTCTGAGGCCAAGTTTACTAGGAATTAGTTATTATTTTATTTGAGTGATTAGTAGGTAATTTCAGTAACTTTGAGTTTACTAATTCTAGGAATTTCAGAGATATGTTTGTAAAAAAATGTATTTTTTTATATTATTATTACAATATTACTAAATATATATTCTTTAAAATCAAGAATAAATCAGAAATATTTTTTATAATGGAATTATTCAATTTGACTCGCTAATATAATTATCTTTAAAGGTAATTACATTACTAATTTATTTATTATTAGTTTTCATTATAAATCCAAGGATAATATGTATTTAACACACTTTAATTTATATCCTTTTATTTATTATAATAATAATGTTCATTAAAATAGAATTCAATCAAAATAAAATATTTTTTTACCTTCATCATTTGAGAATAATTATTTTTAAAAAGATAAAATTGAATACGAAATCTTTGTACGGTGTATTTATAATTAAATATTTATTACTATGATTTAAATATTCATTTATCTTTTTGAAATATATATATTTTCAATAAAATAATTATATTTAAATTCATATATGATAAAAGATATTTTTTTGGAACAATAATAAAAGATATTATGAAATTAAAATGATGAAATTTAAAAACATAAAATATTTGTTTTGTCACGTCAGACAACTTTTCTAATGAAACTCCATATAAGATGAATGTAATAATTAATTGATAATAATGGGGTGGAAAGTGAAATTCGATACATTACTTTTTCTTTTTGAAAGTAGAAACATTATGATAATGGAAATAGCTATGCTTCTGCCAATTACTATTTCCCCGTGTTGCGTGGTTAGGTTATTCATCAAATCAACGTGCATCCGAAATTACAGTGTCATACTCTATTGATGTAACTAAATTTATTAATAGGGCAAGTACAAAAAGTTCAAAATACTTCACAATTAAATGTTAATTTATTGAAAGTGGCATGTCATTTAAAAATATAAAACATAAGTATCAATATTCTTTTCTAAATGGTTGATCCTATTGATAGTGTTGCAGCCAACATCCAATTTGGCGGGATTGCAAAATGGAGTTCTTGCAAAGATAAACCTCGAGACAAAGACGTCCGCAATGATATATATCACATGCTCGCTGAACATGACGTAAACGAGCCTTCCAATCCTATTGCGATAGTTCTTTAATCACACTGAAGAGGACATTATCTTGGTGATACGAGACTTGTTTAGAGAGGCCGTTTGTAGTCAATGTTATCAGATTACAGCTCTATTCAACGAAAATCAAGCCTCGATGCATGCCCAAGGACATCCAATATTGCCCCCACCTCTGTGTTCAGCACCAAGCATTTCCCAATACTTCAAGAAAATTCAAAGAGTCAATCACCATGACAAATATAAAAAGCATTGAAAATTAATAGATCATTTCCCTATTCTTTTTAATATATATATATATATTTGTTATCCAATATATTAATTAATTAATTCAAATATAGTTTTGTAGATATTTATTATGTACACGATCTTCTTAATCCGATTTTATTTATTTGCAATCAGTAGAATTTAAACCTATAACATTACTTAAAAGAACTAGTGTCTCATCCTATTAGATTAATTGGTTGTTAATCATATTTCTTTTAAAACGTTTATACCGCGTAAAAGGTATTGATATTGTTCATATTACTTTGGGCTTTAACATAGACATATCGAAACTTTACATTATATATATTTTATTTGACTTTGATTGTAAAAACTATAACCAAAATAAATATAAAATAACTTGTTTAATACTTTTAGTATATTTTAAACAATCATTCAAATAGGCTGCCAAAGCTTGCTAATATATTGTCACGGGGCTAGATTTCTGCTAGTTGATTCGTGTGGCACTTAGACGATTTCCAGGTCGAAATGACGCCTAAGTCAACCTTATCCACGTCCTTGTGAGTCTCTGGCTCAATAAGCAAAAAACAAACCCTCAAGAGTTAAACAACAATACGGAAACGACACTTAATCAGGGCTAATCCAAGCCACTTGGGTTGAAGCGGATCTCCGAAGCACGAGCACTGTGGGAACTTCCTAAGTCACCAAGACTTGATTAACTTTGGCACTTTGAAAGAACTCGGAAAAGAACACTCTCGAGGCTATCTCAGTCCTCACGATCGGTAACACAAGCCACAAAGGCTTAAGCACAAAGGAGAACAAGCCGACAAGGCTAGAAAGCTAGCAAACTAGAAAGCTAGAAAGAATGAACTCAGAGAGAGTAAGAGTAAATGCTTGAGTTTTATTACTCTGAAGAGAATGAATGAAGTGAATTGATTACAAATGAGGGGAGGAGCTCTCTATTTATAGTTGAGGCCCTCAAGATCCAACGGTCTATATCAAAGTACATCAACGGCTTACATTGAATCCTACCTTAACCAGAACTCTATCTCTAAGGTATTTGAATTCAAATAAAACATTATCCATAATTAAATCCTTAATTATTGGATAATAATATCATTTCTAGAATCTTCCAAGGAACGGGCCAGGTCTGATGGTTCTGGGCAAGCCCAATACTCTGTATTATTCTTCTACAGAAATCTGCGCACACATGTCTCGGACCGAATCCACGAGCCTCAACAAAATTGCCCCCATCGAACATGTAACACCCTCGTCGCTTTTCTCGGACACCTCAGACTTGATCCTTCACGAACTCGAGCCTTTACGGACTCATAAGCATTCTCCAAGAACTGGGCCAACTCGTATTGCCCAACAAGCCCAAGTTTGCGCATGTAGAACCTCGTTTGCGCCAATGTCCATAGACCCAAAAGTTTAGTCCGTGACATTCTCCCCCACTCGATCTAGCGACGCCCTTGTCGCTAGGCGAGAACACTTGGTCTTGATCACCTTGGACGCTTCAGCAAAACACCTTGGCTTCTTTGCCTTGGTCGACACCGCCATGTCTTCTCTCGATCTAACACACCGTGGCATACATCTCGAGCGTAGGAAATCCATCCTACCCGTTTGCATTCACCCAATCAAGGATACTTCAGATCCAACGGTAAAGACTTGGATGCTTCGGCAACATACAACACGATAACTCAGATTCATCGGCAACACTTGCTTGTCCCTAAGAACTCTGAAAGTCTCAGATGTCCCTTCCAATCTTCCGCAACAAGATGGTTAGGTCCTCGACCCACACTCATCAGCGATGGTGAATCGAACTCAACACTTGGAACGTGTTTGAGATGTCCCTCGAACTCCCTTAGCACATTTACTCTACGTGTCAGCCCTTCTTGCTCCACGAAGTCTGGTACTCCACACACCAACACTTATATCCAGAAGTCTAGTGTTTCTACTCGCATCGGCACTTCCTCCTTTGAAGTCCGGTACGACTTCCACCCTCTTACATGGGTGACAAGCTCTCACTCATCATGTCTCTGGAAAGCTTGGACTCCATCAACCTCTTCTCAGTTCTCTGTTCAATGATAGTCCCCAAAACAATGTTCCTCTCACTTAGAACCTCTTCGGAATTGACAGTCTTGCTCGTCCCCTTCGATGGTTTGGCTTTCAACCCAAGATTGTCGACATCCTTCTTCGACATGAATAGATCAGTTTCCCCCGTGTCTATTAAGGCAACTCTCGATGGTTCGGAAACGTTGATGTTCGCACACATCAACCCATTATGCTTGCGGTCTCTACTTGCCTTGGCAAAACTCAAGTTCATTGAGCCAAGTCTCATAGCCTCATTGACCTTGTCTTCACCCATGTCCTTGGGTAACTCGATCATGGGCTTCTCCATCTTCTCGGACCACTTGGCTTTATCCAGGCAAGCTTGTAACTCTTGTGGTCCCTTACTTCGGTGACCATTCATCTGCTCCTTTCTTGCCCTCGGTGTAAGTCACTTGTTCTCTTTACTTGTGCCAACATCGTACATGTCTTTTCTAGACATGTGTTCACCACTTGAACGATCAATGCTCAAATGTTCATCATTCGAACAAACTTCGCTCGAACAAGCACTACTCAAAGAGCCTCGCTCCTCGTCGTTGGACTGACCCTCATCTCGAATACTTTGGCCACTATCCTCGGCTTTCAACTTTAGCTTGGACGTCTTCTTGACTCCAAGTTCTATGATGGACTCGGCGGCTATCAAGGCTTTAGGCAACTCCTTGATTCCCCTTCTCTCCATCGTCGCCTTTGCCCATGGCTTCAATCCATCTGTGAAGGTGAAGAATGCATCTTCTTCAGTCAACTTTGGGACTTGGAGCATGAGTTCCTCGAACTCTCTCGCATACTCCTTCAACATCCCCTCATGTCTAAGATTCATTAACTTAGACCATGCCTCACTCTCGGCATGCACTGAGCTCGATTGCTCTTGCAACGTCTCAGACTTTCTTAGTCATTTGCCAACGCAAGCTTCCACAGCACCGGCTACCTCCTCGGCATCCTTGGCAAGCTCCTTGGCAACGTTGGGTTTGGGTAACCCGTTCTGCTTCTAGTTTTGACTAACCTTGGCAGCTGTAAAGATCATCGAACCAAGCCTGGCAGGCTCACTACTTTCGCCCTAGTCCTCTCCCTTGGACTGCTTGATTCGGTTTGGGTATTCCCACACTATGTGTGGACCTTTGCACCGGAAACACTCCAGTTGCGCTCGATTATTTATCCTCGGCTCTCCAGCTTGGCCCTTGGCTTTCGCACCGAGCTTTACTTCGGTGGTGCAATCTCGCACCTTGTGTTGTCCACCGCATTGTAAACACTTCAATGGCTCTCGCTTCTTTACCCTCGGCTTAGTTGCTTCGCCACTCGCATTGTCACCGAGCTTTGCTTTGTTTAGGCAACTCTTGGCTCTATGTGCTCCTCGACATAGGAAGCACTTCAGTGGGTCTCGTTTATTTACCCTCGGCTTTCCTGCACCACTAGCATTCGCTCCAAGCCTATCTCTTGGTTTGACCGCTTGGACTCCCGCAGTCACACCATCTTTGGCTATTTCCCCTCTTGACTCGTCTTCTCCTTTGACAATGGAAGCAAGACGATTCTTCTCGGGACATCCTCTTATCAAGTGAGGACCATCACAAAAATAACATTTAAGTGGCTTGT